AAATTAAATAACTTTTTCCAAAAGTCTTTAACATTTTGGAATTTATTTTATTTTTTAAGTTTGAGTAAGCTTAACACATTTTGTTTAGGAGTGTTAAGCATAAGATTAAAAACCAAAATTACTTTGAAGTGTATAGTTTTTGAAAATGTTTATCTCGATTTGCGGTTTTTTGCGGTTTTTGAGTAAATTTTTTTTTCAGGCGTCATTTGTTTACAGAATTCAGCAGTTTTTGATATTTGGTTGGCCCAGCAGAAGAAAGGAAAAAATAAGGACGCACTAATAAATTATTTTATACAAAAATGTGTAGCCGATAAAATTTCAGATGAATGCTATAAATATTTAACAGAAAAAGCACGCATGCTTAACAATAATTTGTCTGCAAAGTGGGAAAAGTGTCATAGAAGATTAGAAGATTTTCAAATTAAATATTCTGGCTGGCTTTGTTAAGAAACTGTAATAAACAAGCAAATAAATTTAGAAATCGCTTCCACAGAGACTCAATGCATAGTAGAACTAAACCCAGATGAAAAAATTGTATCACTAACTGGACGCCCGCAACTTAAGTACTCTGAGAAATCTGAACGAAGTAAGAGGAGACAAGCAGCAAACCTCTCGATGTCAGAACACAACGAAACAAATCTGTTAGTTCAAGCAGCATCAATTTCAGCTCGAAAACAAGGACAAGTAGATTTGGCAGTTGTTTTAAAAGAAACCATCGAAAGTCCATCAAGACCATCCAAGATTAGGAAGCTATATGTCGATGGTGTAAAAGCACCTATTGTAATGTCTGATGAGGAAGCGTTAGCATTTCTTCTCGAAAACAATTTTTCGAAGAGCCAATACTGCAACGTAACGCTAATATTTATCCTCCCTATGATAATATATTAGGAATAAAAAGTAAGTGCAGACCCGATGGTGTACTTGTAGACGACAAATGTGCTAAGGTTCCTTTACAAATGCTTTTAACGCATACGGCTAAAAGAATTATAGAGATGCAAAAGGAAGTATTTGCGACATTTACGGGTAACTTCATATCAACGGAAATGATATTTAGCTACGGTTTTGACAGCAGCTCTGGTCAATCTCAATATAAGCAATCTTTCCTTGATCAAAGTGCATCACAAAATGGTGATTTATGTCTGTTGGCCACAACAGTGATTCCCTTGAGACTCTTGAGTAGCGCGGGAGCCCCGATTTGGAATAATTGTTTTCCGCAGTCCACAAGATTTTGTCGGCCTTTAAAATTAGAGTACAAGAGTGAAACAAAGGAAGTGATAACAAGAGAAGCTGCTGACTTAAATAAACAAATTCAAGAGCTTGAAAACTTACGTGTTGAAATCGAAGCTGGTAAGATAATCGAAATAACGTTCAGATTGTTTTTAACTGTTACAGATGGAAAAGTTTTGAATGTTTTAACCGATACAAAATTAAATCAAAAATGTCCAATATGCCATGCAACCCAAACTGACTTTCTTAAAGTCACAGATTATAACAGCGTAAAATTTCATCCTATCGATGGAAATCTAAAGTACGGAATTAGTCCACTGCACTGCTGGATTAGATTTTTTGAGTTCGTACTACATTTAGGATACAAGATGGAAGTAAAAAAATGGCAAATAAGATCGGATGAAGATAAAAATGCAATTAAAAAAAAAAAAAGTATATTCAGAATGAGTTTTGGAAAGAACTAAGTCTTCGTATTGATTTTCCGAAAGCAGGTGGTTGTGGTTCCACAAATGACGGCAACACGTCGCGTAGAGCATTTACGGAATATGATAAATTTTCGAAAGTTTTAGGAGTAGACACCGAATTAATATTTCGAATGAGAATAATATTAATATGTTTATCTTGTCAATTTTCCCTAAATTTGGATAAATTTGAAGAGTATTGCTTTCAAACTGGTCAATTATATCAAAGCAAGTACCCCTGGTTGCCAATGACTCCCACAGTACATAAAGTTATAGTTCATTCAAAGCAAATAATGCAGAATACAGCACTTCCTGTTGGTTACTTCGGAGAGAATGCAGCTGAGTCACGAAACAAAATATATAAAAGCGACAGGCTGCACCATGCACGTAAGACTAGCCGCATTGATAATCTTTTCGATGTATTTCATAGAGCTCTTGACACATAGGATCCATTAATTTAATCTCTTCGCTTAAATACACGTGTGCACCAAAGGAAGCGTTTAACACTGCCACCAGAAGTAAAGGAATTATTGTATTGTGAGGATATCGGTGAAACGTGTGCGACTGAGAATTTAGAAAATATGGATGGCGACGAGGACGATTATCCAGAACAATTTGAAGAGGAAAATACATTTTTGGATAATGAATTGTATTTAAATTAAAAAGTTTAATGAAATTTTAATATTTCCGTAAATACGTGTGTAAATCATATTTTCAATTTCCAGAAGCAACATATTTACTCGTAAGTATCGTATATTTTCTAATTTAGAACTAAAAAAAAAAAAACTCAGAAAGAAAAGAAAAAAAATTTTATGTAAAAATTTTTTTTTTAAATTTTTATTGTAAATGTTGATAATTTCTTTAAAAAAAATTAATTATTTTATACAAAAACACTTAAAATATACTGCAAATTCAAATTCCAGTTGAAAATCCGTTATTTTAAGTTTTAATAGTTTTGGCCAAGAAAAGTGATGTTTCCGACCAATGTGCACTGATTTGATTTGATTTGATTGAGATTTGATTTGATTTGATTTGAGTTGATTATTGGATCTTTGGCCAGGTTTTGATATTTTTTTGAAAAATAGTGGTGTTTTACAAAGAGGATATCAAGGCAGAGGTTGGGATGGGAATAATTCAAACCAGATACTAATGTGTGTTGATGATTTGGAAAGAGTTGTTTTGTATGAATATCCTGATCTTCTGCCAATTGTTCAATGTTTAAAAGACTTTAAGATTGTAAAAGATTTGGTAGAACACTTGAGCTTGAGTATAAGCAAGCCATTCTAAATTTTAAGAACTCCTTTTTATCTGCTCAAAAAATTGCAGATATTCTTGGAAAAAAACTTTCAATTAGTTGGAAAGTGCATATACTCTTGTGTCGTGTACAACCTTTTGTTGAGCACCACAAATGTGGTTTGTCTAAGTTTGCTGAACAATGCGGAGAATCAGTTCACTCAAAATTCAAACCAACGTGGAACAGGTTCAAACGACAAATTGCAAACAAAGAATATGGTGGAAGACTCCTCTCTTCTGTTATTGATTTTAATGGAAGAAGAGTTAGTAATGTTTAGGTGCTTTATGTTCCATATGTCAATAGTATTTGTAAATATTAGTCATTTTATTGTTTTAAATTTTGTTCAATTCATTTAAATTAAAAAATAAAGGTTGATAAGTAAATAAAAAAATAAGAATTTTTAATTTTTTTATATTAGATCTTGGGGACACTGTACCTGACTAATGAAAGAAAATAAATTTTAAATAATTTTGCAAATCCAGACTTCTAAAATAAATTCAGTGAGAGAAAAAAAAAAAAAAAAAAAAAAAAAACTTAAATGGGTTTGGGGCCCCTCAATCTTCCCTTTTGCCCCATTTGGGACCCTTAGCACTTGGTTTAGATTTTAAAAACAACTTTTTCTATTATTATAAAATAAATACTAATAAATAAAAAAAGTTTCGTTTAATTGACACGACACAAAACCTGGCGGTTTCTCTGATTCACTGTGCGATATAATTAATAATATATTATTTATTTGACATATATTTAAAGTTGACATTTTTACATACAAGTTTAGTAGCTATATATTAGGCTTATTAAAGTCAACTCAAACAATTACAAAAAATTCAAGAAAAATACTAAATAAATCAATAGTAAAAATCAAAAATGACGAGTTATTTAAAGCTTGCATAAATTGAACATGCGACTTTATAAATCCAATGTCTTTGACATAAGTCATGGATAATTTGCAAGAACACTGTTTCTGAATCCATTTTTTAATTTTTCATTTAAATTCTTTCAGAGTTAATTTTGATTTGCGACTTATTGGTACCAAATTTCAAATTGATATTCCCAAATGCGAAAGGGACACTAGACCGTATTTCATAGTTTGTATATTGTCATATGCAAATTTATCTCCTCTTAAAAAAGTATTGCACAAACAAAAAATCTCTTCCATATATTAATGGGTAAGCCCTAATTTAACTTTGAAAATTTCTGTAACCAATTCATGTAAATTCTTGTGGTGTTTTTGAAACATTTTTTATAAGTAGTTCTTCAAAAGGAGAATGGTAGTCTTGATATATTTCTATAACATATATATAATATATATATAATTCTAAGAGCTCTTTCGTGTAGTCTGTTTATACAATTGTTAAGTTTTCTGCTATGAAACAAGCAAACTAATAGATATATATGAAAATATATATACATGGACAATAAGAAAAATGAGGTGTAATAAAAGCGTTAAGTATAAGTTTTCTTTGATTCAAAGATATGAAAGAAGCGAGTCTGAAGAGCGCGTTAACTTTTTGACTTGCTGATTTACATAAATTGTTAACATGGTTATTAAAGGAAAGTTTATTCTTAAACATTATACCAAGTAATTTTTCACATAATATTATTTATCGGTAAAATATTATTTGACTCCACTAAAGCGCTTTTTTCATATTCAATTATGTTTTTAATTTATTGTTAAAAAACAAGCTTAATTTTAATTTTTTGTTAAAAAACAAGCTTAAGTTTTGAATATCGGAAAAATCGAGTTCAAGCCAACATCAAAATTAATTAATTTTATTAATTTTTAATAAATATTAAAGAATGTTGTACTTTTCAATTATTTTCACAAAATTTTTTTTCAATAAATCATGTAAAACGAAACTTTGATGTCAAATTTTTAATTTTTTTCCTTATTAATATTTAAATTGCTTGTTGACTTGAGCGCTCTTAATTGACGCAACAAATTTTAAAACCTTCGGTTTACTATTTTGAGAATGTTTTTTTGAGCAAGTTTAAGGTCAACAGATTATCACCACGTTTACTATGAAAAGTGCGTGTTAAATTTATATAAGTTTATATAATCTTCAGTAAAAATGAATACTTTTTATTGCATATTGCATTTTATACTGTTGTTTTCTTTTGTATTATGCGACACTGAAGAATCTCCAGTTGAACAAGACGATGAAGGTGACAGTGTAGAACAAGCAGGAGTTCTCGATCCAGAAGTTAGAGAAAGTTTAAGATACTCTAAGCATGAAGACCAATTTGATACTGCACACATTAAAACTGGAAAAGATGAAATTCTTCCTTTTATAGAATACTTGTATGTACCAAAAAACTGTAAACGAAAATCTGCTAATAATGATTTAATGGTTGTTCATTACACCGGTTGGTTGGCTAAAAGTGGACGCAAATTTGACTCCACGATTGATGTTCGAAGACGATATGTACCGTTTGAGTTCGTTATTGGAACTGGTTATGTTATTCGAGGTTGGGAAAAAGGTTTATTAGAAATGTGCCCAGGTGAAAAACGAAGAATAACTGTTCCACCAGAAATTGGGTATGGAAGCAAAGGTTTAAGAGGAATGATCCCACGTAAGTTAACACTGCTACTTTTACACATAAATTAACATTGCTACTTTTTCACGTAAGTTAACATTGCTACTTTTACACGTAAGTTAACATTGCTACTTTTAAAAGTTATTATTATTTAGTAACTTGATTTTTCTTATCGGTAAGATTATATATAACAAACAATGATATATGTAATATACAGTATAGCTAACCATGTTAGTTATTATAGTAGAGGTGGTACAACAAATAAAATGAGGGGAGGGGATGAATGCTTAAAAAGTACCAACTGCTTCCTAAAAATAGTAATAATAACAATAAACCCTCAAAACTAAAATGTATCAAATACTCGATTCAAAAGACGTTCAGAACGTCTTATGAATGTTCATACGGCGTCTTTTAGAACCAAACACCGGCTGGGTAGCTGTCTATATTCCTTAAAAAACCAACTATAACTTGGAAATCACCTTCTTTGGTAGGTGTCATATACCCCAAACCCCTTCCCCTGTAAAATTGCGTCTGATTAGTAGGTATCTAGTATAACTGATAAATATTATTTATTAGTAAGTATAACGGTTTATCTATAATGATTTCTATAATGATTTATAGAAAGAAAAAAACGCAATATATCCGTTATTTAAAAAACTATTACGAAATTAAAACTAGAAAAAAGTGTTTTAACTCAAATAAAAATAATAATGACAGTAATTTAAAGTAATGTAAATACATACATTTAATTTAGGATGTTTCTACGAACAAAGTTTTTTTCTTAAATTGTTACTTCCAACCCCTGGTTGGAAGTAACAATTTATTGGTGTTCTTACTGGTGTTCTTGATAATAAAACAACTCTAAACTTTGAAATATTAGCCTACTTATGTAAAGTGGTAACTAAACTTTAATGCAATCAAAAAATATAAGTTTATTACAGGTAATTTTTTAAACTCATAAAATCTAAAATTATAATAAATATAATAATAACAATAATATATATATATATATATATATATATATATATATATATATATATATATATATATATATATATATATATATATATACAGGGCCGGCGCGAGTAGGTGTCACGTAGGGGGGGGGGGGGGTCATTACAACATTTGCCGACTGAAAAAAAAAAAAGGGTCCTCATTTTTCAAAATTTGCCGACTGCCATAACGACATTTGCCGACTAACTAATCACAAAGGGTCAAAAAAAAAAAAACCACCCCCCTCCATCGCGCCGGCCTTATATGTATATATATATATATATATAAATATATATATATATATATATATATATATATATATATATATATATATATATATATATATATATATATATATATATATATATATATATATATATATATATGTATATATATATATATATTAAAAGCTATAATTTAACGAATAAAATTAAAACAACTAGAAATGTTTTTTACCATTCCAGGAAAAAATATATATATATATCATGTGACATGTAATAGGCATAGGCTATTTTGCCATAAGGTAAATCTTAGCAACTACCTAGAGACCAACCAAAAAAGGGCGCTTAATTTTATTCCTTTCCATGAAAAACTATGGTAGACATATTTTTTATCACATAATCAGAATTAATTTTGAATTTATTTGAATTTTTCAAAACTATTCCTATGATTACAAAAAAAGTTTTTAGCAACAAAAATAAAAAAAAGTTATAAGCAACTAAAACAACTAAGTTTATAAGCAACTTTAGCGCAAGTATTTACGTTAAATAACTTAATTGTCGTTATGTTCCGTAATAGAAAGTACTTATTTTTTATTTCTACTTCCCAGAGGGCATTTTGACGTCGAACAAACGTCGAGCGACGTCGATTCTCGACGTCGATTCGACGTTGGGTTTACGTTGGAAATGGAAATGTTATTTGACGTCAGATAAACTGACATCGTGCGACGTCGGCATTCCGATGTTAATCCAACGTGTTTTTTGTAAACTAAAAAATGTTGCTGAAGGCAGGAATCGAACCTAGGCATACTAGATTCTAAATCCTACGCGCTACCCAATACACCACGAGGTCATGTTAATTTTTGTGTTTATTTAGTAATATATACTTATAGCTATTTGGGAATTATAACTTAAGAAATAATTTTGTTTTAATATTACATAAATATTAAAACGAATGGTTATATTTTATAAAAAATATATACTCAAAAATGCTAACAGTTAGAAAACTTTGCTAGTGCATCATACAAAACCTCATGGTGTTTTATCAACCATTATTTAAACTTGCTTTCATTAATAAGAAACAAATTTAGTACACATTTTTGCTATCACAAAACGCTGGGTTTGTGTATAATTTTCATCAGCGATGTCTTACGATGTTATTCCGACGTCTTTTTATAGACGTTGGATCAACGTCAAAAGACGTCAAAGGACATCAGATGACGTCCTTAATACGACGTCGCCCGACGTCTTTTTATTGACGTTGAAACGACATCCATATCATGACGTCTATTTTATGTCATCGGAATAACGTTAAAAGACATCAAAATGACGTCGGGGGATGACGAGATATTGACGTTGCTCCGACGTCGTTTTACTGACATTGGAACAACGTCGGAATAGGTTTGTTGACGTCGCTGATGAAAATCTAACGTAAATCCGACGTTGGATTGACGTCGGGTACCCACTGGATTTTACATTGAGTTTCGCTCTTTCTTAAATCAAAAAGTTAACAAAAACAACATAAATAATTTTTACTGTAGATAGGTATAGGGGCTGTCCATTAATTACGTCAACGAAATAGGGGAAGAGGGTCAAAAAATTTCTCAAAATTGTTGACAAGGGGGAGGGGGAGGGGGAGGGGAAGGTCAAGAAAAGTTGACGTCAACACATTTTTTTTTTTTGAATATATTACTTTTTTTTATAAATTTAACTATTTTAAAACAGAAAAATTAAGCAGCGTTTGCAGTCCTGTGTTACATAGTCGCTCATCCTTATTTTTAATTCTCAAGTATTTTAATTCCTATCCAAGAATTTATGTTCCTACTTTTTAAAAACCGTTTTGTGCTTTAATAAGACCCGACATGCAGAACTAAATAACTACACACAAGACTTGTAACGCACTTGCAACACAAGACTTGTAATTTTTTGATGTCAAGATGAACTCTAATTTTATATCTCTATTTTTTACTGGTCTCTGGTTCGAAAAGCTCTGAACATGTTGGTTAATTTATGATCTGTTAAATAAATAAAAAAATCATGAAATATATTGTTTTTAAGCCCGGAGTCCCAGAGTCCTAGCCGCCATTATACCTAAGGACTCCGGGTTAAAAAAGAGTTCCTCTAACCTAAAAATCTTAACTTTTTTACCAAGTAATCCATAAGCGTTTCTATATTATCAAAGCTCCTGGATACCAAAAACTAGAAAGAAGTAATCTTTTTGTGACATTCAAATCCAGAATCCTTTTCTGAACTCCGCATCCCTAAATATAATATTAAAATAAAGATATTGGTAACTCTTTAAAAAATGAAAAACTTTTTATATTGTAACTTTTGGCTGTTCCGTCTCAAAAGGTTGCCAATCCCTGGTTTATACAATTTGTTAAATGCTTTTTTTATTATTCTAGACTCTATTAAAAACAATTGGCTTTCACTGTAAATTTGTATTAGGTCAAATGTTAAAGTGAAGAGAATTTTATTAATTTGAAATATGATTATAATTTAAACGTGTAAACATTTTTGTGAACCCTTTAATCTTTTTTTTCTTAAGAGTAATTCTTTGTATTTTTAAACTGAAATTATGTTTATAAGTTAAAGGTTTACTTTTTTTTTTCTATACCTTTTACTTTGAGTTACTTTTTGTTGAGAGCAAACATTTGTAATTTTAAATGATTATATTTATTTGAAATATGTTCATAAATTAAAATTTGAATACATTCTTTTTTCTAAACATTTTATTTTGAACCACTTTTTTGTTACAGTTGTAATTAAAAATTTTTTTTTTTGCATCCTTATTTTTTTTTTTTGGTGGTGGTGGTGGTGGGGAGGGGGTTATCAAATGTTGACGTAATTTTATAGGGAGTTAACTAAAAGTTTGACAAGTTGTCGATAAGGGGGAGGGAGGGGAGGGGGTAGGTAAAAATTGGAAAAAATTTTTTGACGTAATTAATGGACAATCCCATAGTTTAAACTTCTATTAAGAATTATAGGGCGACGATTATTCATATGCCTAAGGGCGCGTTAGCCACGCATGCAGCATGTAGCTATTTAAAAAAATACTATTTTCTTATATTTGATTAGATTCCGATATTTGTTCTAATATTGGAAGTTATTTTATAAAACAATTTTAAGATGTTTCAATTGCTAACTAGACTATTTGCAAAGGTTATTTTTATTTTTCGGTTATTAGTTCTCCGAGTGCCTAATTGCTTCTCCAAGTACCTGAAAATAAATAGTCATTAAGTTTTTTTTATCAATAACTTATTAATACCACTAGCTTAACTATTAACTAACACCCTAGCTTAGACCATGAAATGATAAAATAGAAGTTTAACTGCTCTAATGTGGCGTTTCTTTTTTATAAAAAAAAACTTTTTTCAAAACAATATTTTTACTCACTTCTATTCGTGACGCAAGTTACTTACGTATATTTTATTACGTTGCACAGTGGGCCAAAATCATTATTAGCTGGACAAAATTAATAACTTTTAAAATATTTATCAGGTTTTTCCCATAATTAGCAGCTTGAGTATATTTCATATAACAAATCTAATGGCACCATTAGATTGTTTATTTGGTTGCCATGGATACCTATATTTCATGTCAACAGGCATTTTGCATAGTTACCTAAATAAAAAGACTTTCTCAAAATATCAAAGTTATAAACTAAACTGATATTAATGCTACATTGCTATTTTATGTATTTGAATGATAACACAAACAAAAAATTATCAATTTTTGGTGTTACTATCTTAGAAACCAGTTGGTAATTTTTTTTGAAACTTTTTCTTAATTCTTTAAAAAATGAAATAAAAACTTTTAAAACAC